GGGGGGGGGGGGCAAATAAAAGTTACTGATATGTAAGAGTAAATGCTTATAATTATTATTTTTCAATCCTCACCCAAGGATATTTTTTCATTGTTTTTCAGAGAGAGTGGAAGAGAGAGAGAGAGACAAACAGACAGAGAGAGAGAGACAGAGAGAGAGAGGGAGAAACACTGATGTGGATCAAGCCTGCAACCAAGGTATATGCCCTTGGCTGGAATTGAGCCCAGAACCCTTCAGTCCATAGGCTGATGCTCTAACTGCTGAACAAAACCGGCTAGGGCAATGCTTATTTTCATATCCAATAGAATGTGATTTCCTTGAGGTTCAAGACAGCATGTCTTTTCCTGTTTACTTTCTGAAGCTCACACGTGTCTGGCACATAGTAGGCATTTATTAAATGTTTGCTTTCTATATATTTTTAAAAATATAACTGTAACCTTACATTGTCTTTCAAAAATGACCCCACACACAATGGACTAATGGACTGCAGCTAGCCTGATGCTGGATTGGGCCTGGTTCCAACATGGAAAGGAAAGCCTAGACACTGGCTTTGCTTATAGTACTATTGAAACCCCAGCCTGGCCAGTGTGGCTAAGTTGGTGGAGCATCGTCCCATGCGTCCCATGCACCAAGAGGTTACCAGTTTGATTTTCGGTCAGGGCATGTGCCCGGGTTGCAGGCTTGATCCTTGGTGGGGGTCATGTAGGAGACAGCCTATCGATGGATGTTTTCTCTCTCTCTCCCTTCCTCTTTCTAAAAAATCAATTAAAAAAGTAAAATAAAATAAAAAGAAACCTCAGCTACACTTCCTCTGACTGGACTAAGAGAAATGTTACTTTGGAAACCAGGGGTGTAATTTCACAGAAATAAAGCTTTCTACCACACTGCAAAATAAAAAAATAAATAACATAGTTATTTAGTAGTAATAGAAAAAAATTTAAAACTTAAAATGCTATATACTTCTTTAGTAAGTCTTTAATTAACTTACATTTGCCTCATCCATTCTATTTTTCTAATTTTTCTTTTCTTTGCCATATCTTGTCGTCTCTTCAGTTTAGAGAAATGAAATTTGCTTTTCTTTTTGTCTTCCACAATTATATCTTCAGAAGGCACCCAAAACTATTGAGAAATAAAAAATGAATTTACAAAATGTTGAAATACTAATGGTGAGGTTATCTGACTATAGACAAGAATTTCTGTGTGCTCAGTATGAATATGCCAAGATAGAAATAGAGGAGCCCTTTCAAGGTATTTCTAAGTGATGGGTGAAGAGCACATGGAGCCTTTGGAGGCACACGCCACAGAGAGACTGACAAAGTACTAGTGCACTGAGGTACTTAATAAGTATTTGTTGAATGAATAAATGAATAGACACATTCTAAGAGTGTTTTAGTTTCTCATAAGAACAGACCTGACCTATTCTTAGTGCTGGTGGCTTTTAAAAACTCTAATCCTCAGGGAGTGTAGGCACCTCCGAGAGCACAGAAGTCTCACCATTATGTCCTGAGAATTTGAGATTTCCCCTGTATGACACTTTATCCTAACTGCTTGTCTATTTTCCTACTTCTGATTCATTCTCCTTCCCCACCACACACACATTAAGTAACAAGGAAGTGAGTTTGCTATTCCCGACAACAGGCTGTATGTGCCACTATTCAAGCACATATTTACTCCATTATATGGAAATATCCTGTTTACTAATGTCTCCCTAACTAAAAGGCAAACTACTTGGGGAAAACAACTACTCTTACTTACTGTTGTTTCCTTAGCATTTGGTACAATGCCTGACACTTAGTTGGAATGCAGTCAAGTTTGTTAAATGAATGAATGCATACCTTTGACCATTTCCACTTTTCATACTTAGTATATTTAGCATCCCACATTCTATATATCTGTGTATCAGAGACTGAGGATTTGATGAAGATACTTGAGGTAATATAAACAGACATCTAGAACTACAGAACCAGATCATGTTAACCTATAAAATGTAAGCTTACACATACCCTTAAGTAGAAATTATTTCCATAGAAAGGAGATTAAACATGGATGTGTTCAGGAAAGTTCCTGAATCACATATATGCATTGGGCATTATATATATTTAAAATCATTCTGTTCAACTAGACAACAAGATGGTGGCATAGGTAACTACGGTCCCCGCTGCCTCCCACAACGACATCAAAATTACAACTAAAATACAGAACAACCATCACTCGGGACCTCCTGAAATTGAGCTGCACATAAGCCCTACAACCAGAGAACAGAAACATCGAGTCCAGTAGGAGGAGTGGAGACGCAGTCGTGGGCCCACACCCAGTGCCACGGTATAAACCTGGGAGGGACATCTCGGCAGTGGAGGTTTCCCGGAAGAGGGAGGGGAGGGGTCCCAGCCCCACATCAGGACCCCAGCCCAGGGCTCCAGGGCCGGGAAGAGAAATCCCCACAACTTCAGGCTGTGAAAACCAGTGGGAACTGTCGCTGAGGGTCGTGGAGGCTGCAGGAGCCCCAGGCTCTCCTCTTAAAGGGCTCACGCACGGACTCACTCAGACATGCTCCCTCTGAGCCCCAGCACTGGGCAGCAGCTTGAAAGGAACCTGGGACACTTGGGGAGGAACTAACCTGCCTGAAATTGGGGTGAGAAGTGGAGGGGCAACTTTCTCCCAGACAGAGGAACTGGCACAGGACATTGCTCCTTTGGCGAGTCCTCCCCCCACACAGCAGGCAGGCAGGCGCCACATTTGAATCGCCAGCACCTGACTCACACCTTTGTTCCCACCCCTCCCCACCTGCAAGCTCATCCAAGCCATTTCCAAGGGCTTTTCTATGTAAGTGGCCTCTTTAGCATCATGCTTGGGACTTTCCTAAAATCTCACAAAGCAGCAGCAGCTGGCCTCAGCATGCCCCATACATCTTGATAAGTGGCCCCAGGCCTGGCATTAGTGGCAGCGTGTACTGGTTCATAGATGGGCCTCTCCTGGACACCTCCAAGCCCAGCACAAGTAGCAGCTAACTATGGTTTGCTGTGTACCTCATGCTGGGTGGCCCTGGGCAAGGAACTGGCAGAGGCTGACTTTGCACCTCCAGGGAGGCCCCAGAGACAGTGCACCTGGTGGTCAGATTCAACCACGCTGGATTGCAACCCTACCATCTCCATGAGTGACACACTCAAGAGGTGCACTTGGTGAACACCGAAGCTCCACTGAAGTAAATCCTGATCTACTGGGGTGTCTCCAGCATATCAGCTCTTTGGCTGTAGTTGCAGCTGGTCCTCACAGCCAAATGGCCTGGGGGTAAGTTCCTCCCAATGATGCCAACAGCAATCAAGGCTCAGCTACAACAGGACAGTGCATACAGCCCATACAGGGGAGCATCTAGAAGGCCCAGCTCAGGTGACTGGGGAGGCTGAGCCACTGGACCCCACAGGACACCTACTACACAAAGCCACTCTACCAATTCCAGGAGACATAGCAGCTCTACCTAATACATAGAAACAAACACCTGGAAGCAGCAATAATGTGGAGGCAAAGAAACATGTCATAAAGAACAGAAGAGCCCGGCTGGGCGTGGCTCAGCGGTTGAGCGTCGACCTGGGATCCAGGCCATCAGGGTTCGATTCCCGGTCAGGGCATATGCCCGGGTTGTGGCCTCAATCAATGACTCTCTCATCATTGATGTTTCTATCTCTCTCTCTTCCTCTCCTTTCCTCTCTCTGAAATTAATGAAGATATATTTAAAAAAAAAAAGAAAAAAGATTATTTATAAAAGAACAGAAGAAAGCTCCAGAAAAGAAACTAAATGAAATAGAGCCAACCAAGATACTAGATACAGAGTTCAGAATAATGGTTATAAGGATGCTCAAGGACCTTAGTAAGATTATTAAGGAAACTAGTGAGATCATCAATGACATAATAAAGTACCAATCAGAAATGAAGGCTACACAAACTGAAATGAAGAATAGTTTACAGGGAATCAACAACAGAGTAGAGGATGCTGAGAATCAGATCAGCAATTTGGAATATGAGGAAACAAAAACACCCAACCAGACGAGCAAAAAGAAAGAAGAATCCAGAAATATAAAGATAGTATAAGGAGCCTCTAGGACAACTTCAAGCATCCTAACATTCGTATTATTGGGGTGGGTGCAAGAAGGGGAAGAAAGAGAGCAAGAAATTGAAAACCTATTTGAAAAAATAATTACAGAAAACTTCCTCTACCTGGTGAAAGAAATAGACTTATAAGTCCAAGAAGCACGGAGAGTCCCAAACAAGAGGAATCCAAAGAAGCCCACACCAAGACACATCATAATTAAAATGCCAAAGGTTAAAGACAAAGAGAGAATCTTAAAAGCAGCAAGAGAAAAGCAGTTAGTTACCTACAAGGGAGCACCCATATGACTGTCAACTGATTTCTTAACAGAAACTTTGCAGGCCAGAAGGGATTGGCAAGCAATATTCAAAGTGATGAAAAGCAAGAACCTACAGCCAAGATTACTTTACCCAGCAAAGCTATAATTTAGAATTGAAGGTCAGATAAAGAGCTTCCCAGACAAGAAAAAGCTAAAGGACTTCATCACCAGCAGACCAGTACTACAGGAAATGTTGAAGGGTCTTCTTTAAGAAGTTAATGATCAAAGAAACTTACAAACAAAATAGACTTAGAGACATTGAAGCATGCAACAGAGAGTTGTATCTCAGGGGGAAGAGGGAAGGGGGGTGGAGGGTGGGAAGAGATTAACTAAAGAAGTTATATGCATATAAGCATAACCCATGGACACAGACAATAATTGGGTGAAGGCCTGGGGAGAGGTTGGGAGAGAGGTGGAGGAGGTCAATGGGGGGAAAAAGTGGGATACCTGTAATACTTTCAACAGTAAAGATAAATTTCTAAAATAAATAAATAAAATAAAATAATTCTGTTGAGTTAATATGAATGCATGTTAAATTTCCCAACACCATGAAAATTCAAATGATTTTCCACCAGTCTTTGCTATTCCAAGCTCTATAAGAGAAAATGTTATATTGTTCTCAAGAACTCCCACCTCTAGTCCAAAGATTAATATAGAGTCGACATCTTCAAATTTGCTTTGATATCAAGATGGTAAACTGTTGAGTACCAGGGAGTACCTAAAGCTGGCTTCAATCACAGCTAATTACTGCCCAGCTGGGCATGGCTCAGTGGTTGAGCATTCACCTAGGACCTAGGAGACCTCGATTCGATTCCTGGTCAGGGCACATGCCTGGGTTTCAGGCTCAATCCCCAGTTGGGGGCATGCAGGGGGCAGCTGCTCAATGACTGTCTCATCATTGATGTTTCTATCTCTCTTTCTCTCCCTTCCTCTCTCTGAAAGCAATAAAGATATATTAAAAAAAAAAAAAAAAAAAAGCTGATTACTAAAAGTAGAAATAAATGTAAGAAAAAAAGATATTTATTCCCATATCTTGAAGTATTATTAATAACTCCAGAGTAGTTCATTTTCAAAAAGACAAACTGGTTTATAAATATATAAGATTCAAAATCATTGATTCCTTTTCCTCACTCTGTCAGAAACGAGCCTCCAGCCATTGTTCTCTGTACGGAGATACCAGCCCCTACGGTCCTCTTCCTGAAGGTTGTCACTTTTAACAGGAGATGCATATTTTGCTGAAAGTTTTGTGTAATCTCTAGGGCTGTTAGCACACAGATCTTCAACATGTCTCTCAGTAAAAATTTTATAGTATATGTCAGGTGGAAATTTAACCTGTAGGTGGAAAAGTTCAAAGGAACATTGTAATCTAATAACAAAATGGTTTACATTTTTAAAATTACATCTCTTCAGTTTCATGTAAGTGTGCTTTAAAACTACAAGTAAGAATTCATTCATACTTACACCACCTAATCTGAACCGTACATGAATGCCAGCAGCAGCATCTAGGAGCTCTGCCTATAAAAAAAATATTACTTTTCAACATTCTGCATATACCAATTCATTACTTCTCACTCTATCATGTTATAATAGTTGTTGAATATTGTTTATTTATGAAATAAGGCAAGTGACTAAACCTTAAATAATTATTTTTAAATTAGAAAATATTTTAAGATTTAATTTCTTATAGGCATCTAACAAACAGTTTACATGACAACTGGAAAAATAGTATGAGACTATGTTTTCTTTCTACTTAATATATAAATATAAAAGTAAAATGAGGGCAGGTGGGTAGAGGGGGAGAGATTAACCATAGAACTTATATGCATCTATGTATAATCCAAGGACACAGACACCGGTGTGGTGAGGGACTGGGGAGGGGAGTAGGGCGGGGTGGAATGGGTCAATGGGGAGAAAAAGGAACATCTGTAATATTTTGAACAAAAAGAAAAAAAGGTCAAATGATTTGTTATTCATAAAAAAAGTTTTAAATAAGTCCTCAAATATATAATTTACATATTAAGTATTATTTCACAGGTAAATTCAAAGAAAAATTGTGATTGATCAATCTGAGTTTAACACCAGATCACCTTTCCTAACTAGCTTTAATTAAATTTAAAAATCCATGTTTAAATTTCTTAAGAATTGTATATAATTGGTCTTCTAAATTTTAGTGCCTTGGACCAAATGAAAAATGGAGAAAAAAATATTTGGTCCTCTATTAGAAGACAGTTCACCTTGTCTCCTAATAATATTAAATTAGATGAGGAAATAGGTGCTATCCTAAATTGTTCAGTCCAGAAAGCCTAGAAAACAACACTAGCTTTACATAATTTTATCCTGAGTAAAAATTATACCTACATACATACATACATAGAGTCATAATTCAAATATGAAAAAAGATGTTTTAAATTCATAAAATATATACTTTTATTATGAATATATATACCTTTTTTCCCACTAAAGTAGGCAAATCTTAAGTGTACAGCTCCATTAATTTTTACCCTTCCTCTTCCAGTCAGTTAGGATGAGGGGCTGATCACCTCAAGTCGGAACTGCGTTTTAGTAACCCCCATCGAGCTTGCTCACTTCTAATTTCTCAGGGGTGATTATGGCAGGTCTCTAGCTCCTCAACCATGGAAGACTGTGGGAAACTCTCTGGAAGATCTGAGCTTAATTCTTTATCTTTCTACCATCCACAGACTCAAATAGCGGTGGGGTTGGCTGTGTATCTAAGGCAGTTCCCTTCTCTCCAGAATGACTTTGTCTCTTAAGTTTATGAGAGATTTCATTTAGTGCAACAATGTTGTTTAAAGTGGACTTAGATGAGTTGTAAATTAGTTCACTACAAACTCTAAGGTAACCAAAAAAGAGTTAAAAAGAAGTGTAATTTATATACTAAGAAAGGAAAGAAAATACAATCATATAAAATGCTCAATTAAAACCAGAGAAGGCAGAAAAGGAGAGAGAGGGATGGAGGGATGGATGGATGGATGGATGGATGGATGGATGGATGGATGGATGGGAGGGAGGGAGGGAAGGAAGGAAGGAGGGAGGAAGGGAGGTGTAGGCACTGTCCTCATTCTACAGATGGCCAAAGTGAGGCTCAGGGAAGGTGTGGGATTTTCCGAGGTCCCACAGCTGGCAAATAACATGGCCTGGGCACCCAGCGGTGGGATCAAAGCCCAGAGTTCTTCACACTGCTTTGGAAACCAGCACCCACATCTATCCCTTTACCACCCAGCCTTTCTTCACTTTAACCACTGGCTCAGCAAAAAAATAAAAATAAAAATAGTGGTTTTGTTTTGTTTTAAATGAGAGGCTAAGAAGGTATGCAAGGGGCCCTAATTGGTACATAAAAAAAATTCCAAGTTGATACAGTGGATATTTTGAGATTAAAAAAAAATTGACCATGAAAAGGCACAACATTTGTTGCTGTTCAGACCCAGTATAACAACATTTCCAGAACTGTTTCTATGGATCTGAAGATAGTAGATTAAGGGNCTAAAATGGTAGATCAAACTATATCAATAATCACTTTAAATGTCAATGGTCTAAATATACCAATTAAAAGACAGAGACTCTCAGAGTGGATAAAAATAAGACCAACTACTATATGTTGTCTACGAAAACCCACTTTAAATATAAAGACAGGCTGGTTAAAAGGAAAGGGATGGAGAAAGATACAGCACTTTAATTAACACTAATCAATTAAAAGCTGAGCAGCTATATTAATTTCAGACAAAGCTGAATTGAAAGCAAAGAAAATGATCAGAAATAAAAAGGAGCATTACATGATGATAAAGTGGTCAATTTTCTAAGAAGGCATAACAATCCCTAATGTATATGTGCCTAACAACAGAACATCAAAATATGTAGGCAAAAATGGACAGAACTGCAAGGACAACTAGAGGAATCACTATTATAGTTGGAGACTTCAACATCGCTCCATCAGTAATCGACAGATTCAGCAGACAGAAAATCAATAGGGCCGTAATTAAACCAAACAGCACCATCAATAACTGGATCTAATTTACATTTATTGAGCACTTCACCCAACAATAGAAGAATATACATTCTTCTCAAGCTCACATGGACATATACCAAGGTAGAATATTTTCTGGCCCATAAAACACCTTAATAAATGTAAAAGAATAGATATCATACAAAGTGTGCTCGCAGGCCACAATGGAAGAAATCAGTAGCAGGAGGACAGATGGAAAGCTCCCAAACTTGGAAATTAAACAACACACTTCTAAATAACAAATAGGTCAAATAAAGAGTATCAAGATTTTAAATTAAAAAATTTAACTTAGAAAATGAAACGAAAATACAACTTATCAAAATTTGTGAGATGCAGCAAAAGGTAGTACTTAGAGGACAACTGGTAGCATTGATTGCATATATTAGAAAACAATAAAGATGAAATCCGTAATCTAAGCTTCCACCTTAAGAAACCAGGAAAAGAAAACAAATTAAAACAAAAGTAAGCAGAAGGATACCTGGCCAGCGTGGCTCAGAAGTAGATTTTCATAAGTCAAACATGCATGTTGCAATCTCTTGTATAAGCATAAAAGAATGATAATAGAGAAGGCAAAATGTAACAACAGTAAAATAATCAGTCCGAAAGAAGTCAAGAAAGGATTTTAAAAAAGAACATAGAGCATTTGAGCATACAGACAGTAAACAGTAAACTATTAGTAATTACACTGAATGTGCATGGAGTAAATGCTCCAAGAAAAGAGAAAGAGTATCTTACTAGATGAAAAAAGTGTTAACTCACAATTTCCTGCCTACAAAAGACACAGCTAAAATACGAAGATACAGAATGCTGAAAGTAAAATAATGAGAAAGATGTACCATGCAGACAATAGTGAGAAAAATAGTTGATGTGGCTACATTAATGTCAGAGATCTTGGACCTTAAAGTAGAAATGATTACTAGATATAAAGGGAGACACTTTGTAATAATAAAATGGTTCAATTCACAAGAAAATCAATACAATACTAAATTGATATTCAGTCAACAGCATTGTCTCAAAATATATAAAAAGTATATATTTTGAGGAAAATGAGCAAGTTTTCATTCATAGTGGGAGATCTTAACACACCTTCCTCGGTAACTGATAGTATAACTAGGCAAAAATAATCAGTAAGGATATAGATGATTTGATCAACATAATTGACAAGTTTGAACTAGCTAACATCTGTACAACACTATGCTCAACAACTGCAGAATACATATTCTTTTCAAGAATAAATAAAAATGTATAAAAATGAGCCCTGGCCAGTGTGGCTCAGTGGTTAAGAGCGTCTGCCCAAGGACTAAATGGTCTTGGGTTCAATTCCTGGTCAAGGGCATGTATCTGGGTTGCAGGTTCCATCTCTGCCCAGTCAAGGCGCATGTGGGCGAGAACCAATTGATGTTTCTCTCTCATATCAATGTTTCTCTCTCCTCCCCCCCCTCACTGTCTTTAAAAATCAATGGAAAAAATATCCTCTGGTAAGGATTAACAATAACAACAAAAGTGTAAAAATGAAGATTAACAGGGGATTGAAATTACAGAGCAATTAAGATAAAGATCAATACGGAAAAGATGATGATTCCCGAGTGTTTGGAAATGTAGCAAAGTACAATTCCAAATAACCAGAAGAAATCAAAGCAGAAATTTAAAAATATTTTGAAGTGAGTTTGATAATGAAAATATTTGACATATCAAAACTTGTACACTGCTGCTAAAACCATACATAAATAAAAATTTATAGCCTTAAATGTATATATCAGGAAAGACTAAAAATCAATAAATTCAGCATTCATTTTAAAAAGCTTAAAAATAACAGCAAATATAACTCAAAGAAACTATAAAGAGAGAAATACTATACAGTAGAAAATGATGAAGTAGAAAATAAATGAACAATAGAAAGGAAGAACACTGAAAGTTGGTTCTTGAAAAGACTAATAAAAGTGAGAAACCCTGATGAGACTGGTTAAGAATGGGACATATATGCATTTCTATGTTTACTGAAGCATTATTCATAAACCATGATATGAAACAACCTAAAGTGGAGTGGGGGGAGGTAGAAGAAGGCATGGGGGGATAAATGGTGATGGAAGGAGACTTGATTGGGGTGGTGAACACACAATAAAATATACAGATGATGTATTACAGAATTGTACACCTGACACCTATATGATTTTATTAACCAATGTCACCTCAATAAATTCAATAAAAAAAGACAACAACGTAAGTACCTACCAAGGGATGAATGCATAAAGAAGATGTAATATGGTAATATGTGTCACACACACACACACACACACACACACACACACACACACTCTGCATTTTCTTTATTCATACATTTATAATGCAGTATTATTCAACTATGGGAAAGAAAAACATCCTGCCATTTGTAGCAACACGTATGGACCTTGAACATATTATGCTAAGTGAGAACTCAGACAGAGAAAGACAAGTACTATATGATATCACTTATATGTTGAATCTATAAAAGCCAAACTTGTAAAAACAGGGAGTAAAATGTGGTTACCAGGAGATGGGGGACGAGGGGCAGTAAGAAAGATTTTGTTTAGGGTACAAACTTGCCATGAGAAGTAAATCAGCCCTGGAGAGCTAATGCACAGTACAGTGAATATAGAAAACAATATTGTATTATAGTAATCAAACTTGCTGAGAGACTAGAACTCAGTTACGACAGCCACTGAAGAGAAAGGTTAATTATGTAACATGATAGAGGCGCTAATTATCACTACAATGGCAATTGTATTACAATTATTAAATGTTGAACACCTTAAATTTATACAATGTTATATATCAAATACATTTCAATTAAAAGAATAAATAATTAAGAGAAGACAAATAACCAGTATCAAGAATGAAATAAAGAGAAATGACTATAGATTCTAGGACATTAGACAGATTTTAAGGGGATATTATGAACATAAATTTGCAAATAAATTTGAAAGCTTAGATAAGACAAACAACTTCTTATAAAAAAAAATACAACTTATCAAAACCATCAGAATAAATACAAAATATGAATAGATCTATAACTATAAATTAAATTTGTAATTTAAAATCTTCCCACAAAGAAAACTTCTGGCACAGATGGCTTCACTGGTAAAGCCTTCCAAACATTTAAGGAAGAAATAACATTCAATGTCTAAAAATAAAAATCAAGAAAGTAGAGAAGGAACATTTCCCAACTTATTTTAAGATGTCAGCTACATTTGATACCAAAATTTGACAGAGACAAGGTGAGAAAGTAAATTACATGTTCTGCATAAAATATAGGTGCAAAAATTTGAGCAAAATATTAGCAAACTAAATTTAGTAATATTTAAAAAGTATAAATGCCATATATTTTCACTTACATGTGGAATCTAATGAACAAAATAGAAACAGAGGCATGGATACATGGAACAGGCTGACAGATGTCAGAGGGGAGAGGGTTGGGGGACTGGGTGAAAGGTGAAGAGATTAACCACAAAAACACATATACATAACACACAGACACAGACACCAGCGTGGTGATAGCCAGAGGGAAAGGGAGCTGGGGATAGGTGAAGGTGGGAAAAGTAGGGGATAAATGGAGACAGAAAGAGACTTTGCTTGGGGTGCACGATGCAGTGTGCAGATGATGTTTTATTGAGTTGTACACTTGAAACCTGTATGGCTTTGCAAACCAATGTCACCCCAATAAATTTGATAAAAAGTAAAATAAAATAAATGAAAAGGATAAGACATCATGACCAGTGGGTAAAAAGGTGAGGGATTAAAAAGTACAAATTGGTAGTTACAGAATAGTCACAGAGATGTAAATTACAGCATAGGGAATATAGTCAATAATTATGTATGGGACCAGGTCAGTACTTGAAATATCAGGGTGACTAATCTGTGAAGTACATGATTGTCTAACCACTATGCTGTACATCTGAAACTAATACAGAATAATACTGAATGTACACTGTAATTGGAAAAAAAAAAGACATGTGTGTATCCCAGGAATGCTAAGTAAGATTAATATTCAAATAAAAGAAAAATATCTCAATTAAAGCACAAAAATATTTCATAAAGTTTAATGTTCATTCTTGGAATGGACAAAAACCTCTTTTAGCTCAATAAGAATAGAAGGAAACTTTTTTAATCAGATAAAAGTTTTCTATAAAAAAAAATTCCTAAAGCACACCTCTTATATAATAATGTACTACTGAGCCCTTTCCCTTTGAAATCAGGAATGTGTTGGCAGTGATTTGCACAACACCTGAGGCAGTGGTTTGAAGTATGGAAACACTGATCTGGGTGATGGTTACACAGGGGTTTGCTTGTAATGTCTCACTGAGCTATACATTTATGTAAAATAAATTTTTATATGTGTATAATACTTCAATAAAAAAGTTTGTAAAAGGAACAAATATAATCACGTTGAGTTTATAAAGTAGTCACACAATTTTAAGGGGGGAAAAGATGCTTTATCAATAAATAATGTCCTTACCTCTTTAGGATTAAAATACCTTACTATCTGACGTGGTTCCCCTTGTCTTCTTATATTAATCAGACTTTTAAAGTGTTGGAATACAGTGACATTCTAAAGGTTCAAAACACATAACATTTTATGGTCAAAACTGGGTGAAAAATGAGTAAAAACTGTAAAAATAGATTTTATATATGTAAACTAGATTTTAGATATACTGTCCACACAGGGTTTCCATTGACAAGCCAGGCAATGTTGGTATTACTCTAACAAGTTTTACCCTTAAGTTTGTAATTCTATCACTAGCAGCTATAAATAGAATATCCAGAACTCTGGTTGGGTCACTTCTGTATACTACAGAGTAATCTAGGATAAAGACAAAATACAGCCTAGTGATTAAGAACACTAACTCTGGCATAATGTTGTATGGGGTCAACTGTTAGTACTTGCTAGCTGTGTGACCCTGGGCAAGTCGCTTAACCTCAGCTTCTTATCTAAAATATAGGAATGAGCCCGGCCGGGCGTGGCTCAGCGGTTGAGCGTCGACCTGGGATCCAGGCGATCGGGGTTTGATTCCCGGTCAGGGCACATGCCCGGTTGTGGGCTTGATCAATGACTCTCTTGTCGTTGATGTTTCTGCCTCTCTCCCTCCCCCTCCTTTCCTCTCTCTGAAATCAATAAAGATATATTTAAAAAATAAAAAAATATAGGAATGATAGTAGCTATCTCATACAGGTATGGTGAAAAATGAATGCGTTAATATTTGTAAAGCACTTAGAACAACTTTTGGCACAAGAACGTATTCAATAAATATGATCTATTATTATCATTATAGAATCCTCTTCGTTCCTGTAATTCCACTGATTTATAAACCCTATCTATTTTTTTTATATATATCTTTATTGATTTCAGAGAGAGGAAAGGAGAGGGAGAGAGAGAGATAGAAACATCAATGATGAAAGAGTCACTGATTGAGCCCGCAACCCGGGCATGTGCCCTGACCGGGAATCGAGCCCCGACTGCCTAGATCCTAGGTCGATGCTCAACCACTGAGCCACGCCTGGCCGGGCCCTATCTATTTTTCATATTAGCACAAATTTAGTTAAACGACTCCTAAAAATTCTTCAATCTTGGAAAACTATTTCTTTGGTAGCACTCTCCTCACACCCTAGCCCATCAAAAACCCCTTAATAACTCTTGGTAAACTCCACCCCCCCCTTAGTTTCCATATGTGAAGTCATCAAATAAACTCAAATTGAAGTAACCCATAGCACCAGTACGACCATCTGAAGCCCTACTGCGACTGCCTGTGGAATATGACACAGCCACCATCAACAGATATATTCCTTCTGCAAGGAAGATATAATTTCCCCTAAGTAAAACCCCAAATTGAGTATCAAAAAATTACGAGTTTAAAATCTGGATAGTATCTTCTAAATATGTAGATTACTGTATCAAACCACCCCAAAACTTAGTGACTTAAAGCAACAACTACTTTCTATGGGTTGACAGGGAACTTCTGCTGGTCTTGCTTGGACTCACGTATGTGGCTGTAGTCAGCTGCCAGATCAGCTGGAGCTGGGTGATTTATGGCCTCACATACATATCTGGGTCTTCAGCTTGGAATGCTGGAACATCTGGGATGGCTGGGACTCTCTCTCCACACAGACTTTCAGTTTGAGTTTCTTCACAGCATGGAGGTTCCAAAGTACCAAAGAGAGAGAAAGTAGAAGTTGCAAGGCTTCTTAAGGCCTTGTCTTGTAAGTCATACAGCATCTGTTATTCTGCATTCTACTGGTCAAAGTCAAGACCTAGCAGCCCTCAAGAGGTGAAGTTCAAAGTGTAACCTACAGGAAATTCCATATATATTTTGGCCTTACTCAGGGTCACCCTGAAGGACAGGGATGAAGATAAATCCTTCCAGGGTACAGAACCTCAAGCAGTATACATGGTTGTATATTGTACCTGGAAGGAAAGATGACCAGAGGTACGGATCTACAGATAGGCAGTGACTGATGGTTTAAGTGGATGGTCAGGAATTTGGAAAGAATATGGTTAGAAAATTGGTGACAAGAAGATCTGGAGTAGAGGTCAAGTCACCCACCCTCAAATGTACACCAAGTGTCAAGATATTTGTGACCATGTAGATGCTCACCAAAGAGCAATTTCAGCAAAGAAGAATCTTAATAATCATGTAGGCAAAGTGACTAGTTCTTTGGAGTCATCCAGCCTTTTTCGTGAGCCACTGCTCTCCTTGCCAAGGACCTCATGAACAAAGTGCCATGCAGCAAAACTGCAGGTTATTTATGGGCTCAGCAACATGGATTATTACTGACCAGATCTGGCCACTGCCACTGCTGAGTGCCCACTTTGCCAAAACAGAGACCAACAGTGAGCCCCTATATGGCATTGTTTCTTGGGGTAATTGGCCAGCTTCCTCGTGGCACACTGATTAGCTGAACATTTCCATTGTGGAGGGGTAATACTTTATTCTCACTGGAAGTGCTACTTTACCCTTCTGTGTGCATACAAAAACCACCACCTGTATATTTTCAAAATGCTTTATTCCCTGTCATAATGTTGCACATAGCATTACTTCTTTCCAGCAAATGAAGTACATCGATGAGCCCATGCTCATGAAATTCACTGATATTACCTTGTTCCCCACTAGCCTAAACCAGTGATTTTCAACCAGTATGCCACTATGCACTGATGTGTCACAAGCATTTTTAAAACATGCAATACCTGACTATTCAGTCAGCGTCCCTGACCTCTTTTCCCCTAGATTATCAAATTAAAAAAATGACAACAGCCAGCACAATAGCTATCCAGCGTGAATGAATCAAAAGTACAGCTATTTTTTGTCAGTTTGGCAAGAAATATATTTTTGGTGTGCTGCAGAATTTTGGTGATTAGTGTGCCATAAGATGAAAAGGTTTGAAAAGCGCTGCCCTAAACCAACTGACCTGAAAGAATGGTGGAATGGAATTTTAGAATCTCAGTTACTGTTAAGAGTTCCAGTGGTAACACTTTTCAGATTAGGGTGATGTCCTCCATGTCATGGTATATGATCTGAACAATAAACAGCATATGATGTTATTTCCCGCACAGCCAGCACTTATGAGTCTGAGAATCAAGGGATAGAAATGAAAGTGGCTCCCTCTCAATATTACCACTAATGATCCACTAGTGAAAATGTCACTTCCTCCCCTTGTACATCTGGGCTCTGTGGGTATAAAGTCTTAGCACCATGGGAGAAATGCTTCTACCAAGGTACACACCTATAGTTTAGTGTATATGATCTTGTAATTCAATGAACTTCTTTAGGAGGATTATTCTGAATTCTTTGTCAGGCAGTTCAGAGATCTCCACTTCTTTAGGGTCAGTTATTGAAGCTTTATTAGCTTCTTTTGGCAGTGTCATATATTTGCAATACATATATTCAATAAAGGACCTGTAGGAAGGGTATATGAAAAATTGTTCCAAGTGAATATTGACAATATAGTAGTAGAGGTGATAGAGCGTGGGGGTTAGGATATTAGGAGGATATGTGAAGAAAAGGGTAGGGCTATTTATACCTTCATCATATATAAGGTGTCAAGTAATGCTATGTTGGCATGAGGGAACAAGAAATAAAGGTTTAAATGTTCTTTAAAGCAATAAGGTAACAAATAGAGGAATGGAAAAATAATAATTTATGATACAGGGAGGGGAGATAAGCAGGGTTGTAAAAGATAAGATAAATTATCTTTTCAAATCAAACCTAAAGTTGATACATAAAAAATAATTATATAAGCATATTATTATTTTAATATATCTTTATTGATTTCGGAGAGAGGAAAGGAGGGGGAGAGAGAGAGGTAGAAACATCAATGATGAGAGAGTCATTGATTGAGCCCGCAACCCGGGCGTGTGCCCTGACCGGGAATCGAACCCGGATCGCCTGGATCCTAGGTTAACACTCAACTGCTGAGCCACGCCTGGCAGGGCTAAGCATATTTTTTAAAAGCATGGAAGTAACTACTAGAAGATCCAAACAGTCTAGGTGGTTGCTTTTAGGGTTTGAAGGTGGAAGAGTGGGGTGGCAAAAAAGACTTGCTTTTTAGTATACAGTCTACATTATTTTACTTATGTTAAAGAAATACACATATTACTTTGATAAAAATATTTAAAATTATAGAAAAATCTACATTTATATTACTATCACTATGCAAATTATTCACTATAAGGCCACATAATATGCTAAAACTATGCATCCTTATTTATTTTCGCCTCCTGCACGTTCCCCAATTGGGGCCAAGGATTGAACCTGCAACCCTGCAGGCTGATGCGCTAACCACTGAGAAACACCAGCCAGTGCACTATGCATCCTTATTTATAAGTCCCCTATGGGCTATCTGAAGTAGAATGTATCTAGAATCAAGATCAAATGCATTCTCTTTATATATTAAAACTTTTAATTTGCATTATACTTGAACCATGAGTTTCTAACCACTTTTTAAGTCCAACTTTCTATTGTATGAGGTATCATTTTATCTCCAGATGCATCCCTCTTGGAGCCATTCATTATACAGATCTAATCTGAATTAATTACCATTTTTATGGTAATCCTTCAGGTTCTGTTATTTTTCTTTCTGTTTCTTTTTGTTTTTATATCATTGGTTTTTCTTAAATGTCAAGTGATTCTAGGTTGTCCATTAATTCAGTCATGTGCCACTTAACAATGGCAATACACTCTGAAAAATGCATTGTTAGGCAATTTCATTGTTGTGCAAACATCATAGAGTGTACACAAACCTAGATGCACAGTGTGCTGTACACCGAGGCGATATGGTACACCACCGTCATATATGTAGGCTGCTGGTAACCTATGTGGTGCAAGACTGTAGTTAGGAATCAAAGTCTGTATCAGTTTCTCCAGGGAGCAAGTATCCTGTGCTTTTGTGTAGTCACCTATTTTCTCACTGTTCACACTCATGAGTGGGAACGTGGCATGGGAACTTTGTGATGTGGGTGGAATAAGTTAATCAATAGGCTTTCTTATAGCAGGGATGGTCAGGTAACCAGTAATTAAGCAGGGTGACTGTCAAATACTAAAATTAAGAAGGTTTAGATGTGGAGTGCCAAGTCCATGCTAGAACTAGCTTTCCCAGATAGTTCACTTTTTCTCCCAATGGTAAATATCGACCTACCAGCAGATTTTTGACTAATTGTAAATATCCATCTACCTGCAGCTATGGGTCTTAAAGTGACAGTGGAGACAACTGGTACAGCTGCCCCCTTGTCTACAGTCATTCTCTTCCAGGCCTTTTAAAAACTGCTAACTCCTAATTGATATCCTTTCTAGTGTTCCAATGGCAAACCAGCTGTCTCACTGGGGCCCCTCTGAAGTGTATCTAGGCAAGTCTTCTACACAGTTTTGTCCAACAGGATGCCACCATCTATTCTGGTTTTCCATAAATGAAATAAAATTT